TGCTTACTGCGTCCGACAGGAATGTTCGCATGCTTAGCATTTCCGGCTTCCCCACCACCGTCTCTTGTACGGGGGCCTGTCCGTGATCCCGAAAGCCGGACGGAGATGAATACTAGTCATGTTTTCACTAGAAATGGCTTCCCACTTCTAGATTTTGTTAAGCCCTTCCAATTCTCCTTAAAACGTGCTTTTCACAAGTGGGTTATGCGCTTTTTCTTAACTAGTAGCTTGCTTATCGTGGCATCTCTGGATGCAAAGCGACTAAAACCAAATAATCGCAGAAATTTTCTTGATCGGGCTCATATTACCGATATCTACCCAAGACCCTTTAAAACCGATGCTACCGAGGGAGCGCCTCGGAACCCAGTCTCTCTATAATTAGCCATTGCCTACAGATTCACAAGAGCTTGGGTTCCGATAGTGAGCATTTAAGCGGTTGAGCAATTATTAATTAAAATAGATATGTTGCCTGATATCCATTTAGTGATGGACACGGTCAGACCATGCTCAAGCATTTGGTGATCATGCTCGATCACTCTATCTATATATGTATGTCTGGGGAACCATGTTCGTATGATATAAAAACTGTCTGCCCCGCCACACTTGTTAACATATTCTCCACGAGGCTCTCCATTGTCAATTCTTCGACGCACTCTCATTCGAAATTCACGTTAGAAAAGATATCTTCATATTCATCATCCCGGTAAGCGGCACAAACGATACCCGGCACTGCAAGCGAACGGAAGAGCCCCAATTACCCCGGCTCGCAAGTCTTCGGGGGATTGTGTTTAGTAAAAGTGGCTTTATTAGCTAATGTGTTGGTCGATGGAAATCGATTTGAACAAAGGTGCTTGAATCTTCTATTAAATTTTGGCATAGGAATGTGACTCCAGTAGAGAAAAACCCATCATACTTGACGACTAGGCTCGAGAAAAACCGGAGGTCCGTGGTCATGATCGAGCACTCGATCAGAGTCTACCAGTTCAGGAAGTCTTGATGAAACAATAATTCCTAAGAGATGCTATCTGCCAAAATACTGAGATCTATATTGTTATTTTGGATATTATTTGGGAAGCAGGGTAAATACTTCCGAAAATTTCTTTCTACTTCTGTCTTTTAACAAATATTTCATGATACACTCCCTCCATTACATCTCTAATGGTGCATCTCTAGCTATGATACTTGAGAAGATATTAAGGCCACTAGTCTTGGTGGACAACGGCATTGCGGTTGAAACCAAGAGAAAGGGCCAAGTATCGTACACCCACCAACCCGCTCGGTATTTCCTGCTCGATGCCCATTGAGTTCTGCAAATAACCCTACTGGTGCAGTGGTTCACACTTCATGGCAACCAACGCCGGAAAATTTAGCGGAAGTAGGTTCATCATGCCCGGGCACTCACTACGACAAGACTCCAGCTCTAACCCAAGAGCCACGAACCCTTTGAAAGAGTGGTATAAGTAAAAGAAAGCAGAGCCCTTATAGAATACTGTCAAACTGTTGTAGAGGTAGTGAGTAGTAGTTATTGGTGCTCAGTCGAACACATCAAACTTAGGCAGTGTTGTATATCGAGATAAATGGGGGGCGATACCTTAAATATATTAAACTTTTCTGCTTGATGTCACACCACGGCGGATAACCATCTCTTAAGTGAAATTCCTAGTGGGCTGGTTGACGATATCCAAAAGATAGGGCTTAAAGAAATATATTCCATTCACTTGCGGGACCGGGGGAATTAGTGGCGCAAGAAAACACCGAAATGGCACCAAAATCAGTGGAAATCTGGGAATCTCAACCTATGTTCTTACACTGGGAAGGGAAATTTCTGAGCGCTACTACGCCAACCCGATAGTAATGTTGAATCCACCTTTATTTGACTCTAGTCGCATGCAGAGGGACCACTTCTACCTCTGACCCACTCCCCCAGCCAAGACCCCACATTCTCCCTGTTAGAGGTTAGATTTTGAGACTACGGACGGACTCGAACCAGGAAAGCTATAAACAAGTCTGGAAATTTGAAGGAACCCGGTATTCGAATTATTGATTAACGATTGGATATCGGGTGAATTTTTATGGCTCTGGCACAAACGAACCACGAGTATAGTGATGATATGGTGAGTACAGTGCTGAATTGTACAGTACAGTACAGTACAGGTAATGGTCATCTGCAAATCGCTGATATCTTTCTCGCTCCTAGATTTGTAGCTCTCTGTCTACCGCGTTGAAAGGCCTTATAAATTGATCTCTTCTCCTTTACGTCTTCTTCCCTCTCCTTTTAACTTGATGGCCGTAATAGTCTTATGTTTCTTTCGGGAATTGGTTCTCGCGGCATCTCACCTTTGTTTAATTGGGCTGGAGGACTATTATAATTTCTAGATTTCACTGCGGTATTAGCGGATACCGCCCTAACTTAAGTTTTTGTTGATGTCACTAAGTGCATTAACCATAGTGGTGAAGATGACCTCATAAATATAAATTAAGCTACTCTAAGATGCACATCCCAGGATACAGTACAGTATCGCTATTACCGTCTTGAACTTTTCTTCTTCCCTGCCTTCTTCTTAGACCTTGCCTCCTCTTCCTCATCCTCACTATCCTCACTGTCATCGTCTCCCTTCTTGGACTTCTTGCCCCCACTACTACCTTTCCTCTTTTTCCTCCTTTTCTTATCGATTTCACTATCTTCATCTTGGTCTTCACTATCGCCATCATCCTCATCCTCCTCGCTATCTGTACTAGTGTCCTCCTCGCTTTCACTCACTTCCTCCTTCTTGCTCCGATTGAACGTTGATCTCCGCCGTGGAGGGTATCCTAGATAATTGTCCTTGCGCACCTCTTCCAGTTCGGCAATGTCTGCATCGTTCAACCCGGAGTAAACTTCTCTAAGGTACTCGTCAAAGTCCTTACTAGCCTTCGCAACTTTGACAAACTTCTGACGCGTGAGTTTCGCTGGAGGGTGAATCATGTCTTCTGCACCCTCCACGCCAGCTTTGATAGCGGCCTTCTTGGCATCGAATTCCGCGAGCGCTATCGCTGTCTGAAAAGCGTTCCGAATCTGTCTTCCGTTCCACTTCAGCTGCTTGTAATGCTTCTTGGCATAGCCCCGAATCTCGGCGCGATCAACTTGAATGTTCTTTTTCCCTTCTTGAGTGCGTGTCAAGTTCATGTCCCACACGGCAAGATACGCTTTTCGATCGAGAGGGGGATAATAGAGGCTTATGTGGATGCGAGATTTAAAAGCTTCGTCAAACATGCCCACTCGGTTGGTCGTTAGGAAGAGGATTCCCGAGTAATACTCGAGAACGCGCAGGAAGACCGAGACCATACTATTACGGCGAAGGTCGGCCCTGTCACGCTTCTGTAAGAAAATATCGGCCTCGTCAAGGAGAAGAACGCATCCCCATTTGTGTGCCAGGGAAAAGTGCTTTTCGAGGTTCTCTTCAACTTCCTTGGCTTCGGCTCCGATGTCACCTGATTATCTATTAATATCTGGGCTTCAGGTCCTACAGGGTAGTTGGGTGAAGTGTTACCGCATGTTATCGCGAAGAGAGGCCTTCCAGTAAAGTCGGCTACACATTCTACATAACTTTCAGCATATGGTGAAATTCCTTGGAGTATGCGTAATACCTGCTGTGGATGTTTTCCCCACTCCCGGAGCACCGTGAAGCAGAATAATGAGTCCTTTGCCTATGTTTTGCTGAGATTAGCATCGCGTGTGCAGAAACAAGGAATTCTGTTGGGTTCTACCTTTCCCACGAACGAGATCAACTTCGTGTTCTCTGTCGTAAATTGTACCGGAGGTAGGCCTCGAGCCTCGGGAGTGTGTTTGGACCAGCGCCTCGACCAGGTCCCGATGTCCCTTTGGCAAAACTAATGAGTTGAACCCTTCTTTTCGACTTGGAACGTCCCTCATTAATGTGACGTCCAGTGGAGCTACACAAATTTGTCAGACTCGCACGAACTACACCGTCAGGGAGACAAGGCATACCCCATTTCCGGCTTCTCAGTACGAACCCAAATATCCGCTCCGGTAATAGGATGATAAGAGAATCTCCTAGTTTTTGATGCTCCTGGGCTTCATCGAGAAGTTTCGCTTGGCCCGCAAAGATTTCCTGATGGTGCTTTGTTTGGAGCTCGATGAAAAAGTCCTCATGCTTTTCGCAGAAGCTACCCTGCCAGCAGAGAGTGGAACATGCAGAGGGGCCGGACTCGTTCGCCTCGCGGGGATCGCGCTCGGTAGCATTGTCGAGACCTAGTTTTGGGATCCACTCGGGGTTGAGTTGTAGTGCGAGGGTTGGGTCTGCAATTACTTGACTTTGAATCTGCCACAAACCCATGAGCAATGGAAGGTAAACTCAGTCAGGGGGCTAGATGCGTTACCTCTTCCTTTGGCTCACTAAGGCTCAACCCTTCGTAATACCTATGGGAAACATCTAGCATCTGCAAAAAAGACTTCCCCCGAGCCAAAAGCCGTTCCCTTGTTTTTTCCAAATCTGGCAGGAACTTCAATGGGTACACCGGTAGTGATGTAACCGGTTTCTCACCTTCGTATGGGCGAATTTCAATCTGCTTTTGAACACCGCCAAGATGTGAACCGTCAAAATCGATTGAATAACAATCAATGATGAAGGGGCTCGCAGTGTCGTGTCGTCTATATAATGATTCACCCTTACCATCATCGTCTTTTCTAGCACGGAATATATCGCTGTAGCTTGGCGCGTGGTTGGGCTCGCATATACCAGTCGTAGCTTTTTTTAGCATACGATAGTACAACTTGTAATTTCCTCGGATGAACTCAGTCTTTCGGAGAGGACGACCGCCGGTGGTAGCGAGGACACGATAGATTTGCGGATTATCGACATGCTTTTGAGAATAGATTTCATCTCCCGCAGTAAAGAGTAGGTCGATATCTGTGAAGGCTATTTTTTTGACGCCGCCGTGCTTGATAGCTCGGACGAGGTCAAAATCGGATTTGCATTCTTCATCAATAAACTCCAGAAGACAGCGGAGGTCTTCCATGTCTTCTTTAGTTTCGGTAATGTTCTCTACCGCCGTCTCAGGCAGAAGATTGCTGCCCCAGACTAAAAAAAGTATTAGTTTTCAACGAGCGAGTTCTGCGGGAAATATACTTACCTCCTCCGCTAGGTTCATATATCACAGTAGGGACCTCACCCTTATCATCTGCACTATCTGGATTTTTGTCGCCATGAATCTTCTCCAATTCTTCTAGATATTCTCCTAGGATATCTCGTTGTCGCATGAGATCTCTAAAAGGCCTCAAGAAGATGTACGAGTTACCGAAAGGCTTCGAAGTAGTAATCTTCTCCAAGATCTTCAATACCGGCACAGAATTAATCCTCAGTTTCTCTGCCCTTCCCGCACTTGCTTCGCCAACCTCCGCAGGATCACGGACTTGGATGTCGAGAACATGTTCCCCCTCTTCTTGTCTTGCAAGTTCAAACTCCTCAAATAACATCCTGTTTGGCTCCCTTCGCATTAATTTCGCCGGCGGCGCCTCATCCTCCTCCTCAATCGGATCATCTGGTTTATATTTTACGATATGTGATTCTAGGAATGCCACACGATCCTCTAGTAGTTCCATATAGCTTTGTGACTGCCGGATGCGTTTCCGCGCTGCTTTCCGTCGCTTGTCCAAGGGCACCCAGTCACTACGGATCACTGTAACCTCGTCCTCCTCATCGGAGGTGATTTGGCCTTCTTTGAACTGGCCGTAGGTTTCTACGTCGGCAACTGGGGCCTCAGCATCAGGTCCAGTGGAGGTCTGAGAGGAGTCGGTAATGGTGTCCTTTGACTCCGAGGATGAAGAAACATCTTTTGTCTGAGAGGTGTCGCGTTTCGCCCCGGAGACCACAGCCTCAGGTTCCAGAGCTGAAGCAGCATCGGTCTCGGTCTTTGGTGAATTTCCCGTTTCTGTCATTGTTGTATCTTGGGTTTCGTCTGCGGATCCTCCTGAATCCTGGTGAAGGGCAGTCTTGGTGCTACCTGTCGCTTAATCACGTTTGAACATCAGTAAATAATCTTGGAGAAATCAAAAAGTTTCTCGGCATGTTACCGGTCTTTAGAGGGAGATTTTCCACTTTCTTCCAAACTTCGGATGGGGTCGGGTCTTGAACGGGGGCTCTAGGAGTCTTAAAAACACAAAAAGTAAATACCCTGCTTCACGATTATAAACAGACCAGGAAAAAAGAAGGACTGACCATCACCACTTACTGCGTTCAAACAAGCTAAAGAGGCAAAGGCTTATTCTTCCCCGGGGCTGTTTCTCTGCTTAAGCTTAAATCCTTCAAGTGCCCACCCCCTGCTGGTCAGTAGAATGGCAATAAATCATCTACTATATTATTTTTCACTTTTGCTTACCGATAATTGAGCAACAAATACCGTACGCCTTAGTACCATGAGAATTGTGATGAGTGGGTCTGAAAAGTGGGTTGAATCCTAGTTCCTGCATGTCGCACATTTATACCGCATACTGATTACTGGTACTTGTACCGCACTACCAAACTTGGATTCATGGTGGCACTATCGGTACGAGTACTGGAGTGAATACACTCCGGGTGCGAGAGGACACTTTTGTCGACACTTTTGTCGATTTCAAGCTAACTCGAACTGAGCCAAGGAGACAGGGAGGTGAGGGGTAACCAACTCAGAGATCCTGAAATAGTCTAATACACTGGGATACCTGACTGATAACGAACTGGCGGCGCAGTCAGCTGCAGTCAGACACAGCCAGCGTAGGTAATATTAGGCTAATCATTAATGCCGCTGAGTTACTAAGACTGGTATTCGCATTTTATTGGCGCATATACCGGTCGTACTCGAGTACCTCTGTTGCACAATAGGTACCGTACAGTACAGTACAAGCACTCTACAAGCACCGGTACTCAAGTACCGGCATCTGGGAATACTGCATGCACAACCGCCCAACAAGCGAAGAAAAAACATCCTGTTTCATATCCAGATAGGGTACTTTCAGCTAGGTACAGGTAACTTAATCTGATTTGTCGAGGCTGAGCACGAATCAAGGGGCGAAGTGATATCAGCTCAGCTTTTAATCAGAAAAGCATGGCACCAGTAATCCAACTCATGCGGGGTTTCCGAATCTAACCTAAATTATGGTACAGTACAAGTATCTCTCAGCGATCCCCAGGCTACGAATACGAAACCCAGCTCGCGCACGCCAGGAGCAGCTTCGCCTCAAATTCCCCGCTCACAACCACACCTCTTCACCTTCCGGTATGCCAGTGGATACAATACTCGAGGTGAACCCCCACCCTCTCTGAGAACGAAATCCCACAGCACATGTAATTCAAATCTCGATTCGTCCGACTCTTAACCAGCGCAACTCAAAAATTGATACAAACGATCCAGTCAAATGCCACCAGAGAAATACCTCAGCAACGCAGCAGTGGAATACATTGAAACCCGGGTGGATGGCAAGCTACATCCGGCTTTCGAGGACCCCAATACGGGAATAAGATACAACCCGACGATAGACCAATTTCTGGACCAGAAACGACTGGAATTGCAACAGCAGCGACAACAGCAGGAATTACAAGCCTCCATTCAACAGTATATTCCCTTCCCACCTTTTCCCCCTCTACCACCCTATCACACTAACAGGAGAATAGCCCAACGTCCCTGGACAAGTTGGTCGAAGAGCGCAAGGAGAAATTCCAAGAAGCGCTTGACGCATACCTCAAAACTCCCTCCGTGGAAAAGACTCCCAGCAAGCTGGTGGGAAAGACGACATGGGACGATATCAAGGAGCTAATGCGCAAGGCGGAAGATGAGTACCAGGACGTCGGCACCATTCGCAAACACTTGCGCAAATTCAGTGAGAACGCGCCGATATTCAATTCCTGGTTGACCCTGCTGCCGCAGGCCTCCTACACCTCCACCATATACGGCGGTTTCAAGATCATGTTTGACGCCGCCGGGAAGCTGCACGGTGTGCGCGAGAAGGTGTTCGAGATACTCGGCGAGATCCCTGACAGGATTGCTAAGACACAGGTATACGCCGAGCTCTACCGGTCTTCAAAGCAGGTACAGGAGAGGAGTGCGGAGTTGTATGTTGCGATTTTGGGCATTTTTGAGCATGTGCTGGGCTGGTTTGCGAAGAAGCCAGAGAGTATGTTTATCACTATCTCTTCTCCCTGAGTGGTAGGGTGGTGACTCATTGTAATGTGAATTGGGGATATAGGGAAATTCGGAAAGGCATTACTGAAAGGCGAACTCTATTCTAAGGAGATTGACGAAAAGGTTTCGAAGATGAGGGGTGTTGCGAAAAACCTGAGGGAAGAAGCAAAGCTATGTTTGCACGAGAGTTTAAGGCAGGTGAAGGATGGTTTGTCCCTCATTGAAGTATTCATGTGTTGGGACGGCTTTTACTGACGTAAGGTTATACTGTAGGAAGCTTACTACAAGATAGGAGACTCCAAGATATGGAATCAATGAGCCAAGAGATCCTCCGCAATTCACTCAACGCAAATTACACTTCTCAGATGCAGGTTCAGATGTTGACGGATGTCTACAATAAGGTATACCGACTCTTCCAGAGCTCGGCCAACTACGATAAAGAAACCGGACAAGCAAATATCCTGCAGATTGAGAGAGACGCCCGCGGGCGGGTCGCCCAGCGGAAAGGTTTGGAATATCCTATGCCCCATTTGATAAGACAATCCCATACTAACAGGGCGGACAAAAAAGTCTGCTCAACAGAACTTTTGAACTCGCTCTCATTCTCTCCCGACGACCTCGCAGCCACGGTACAAACGTCTCTGCACTACGGCCACGGTGCAACGGTCGTGGAGAAAGATCGGGCAAACTGGATCATGAAGTCCCAGCACATGAGCACATGGCTAACCTCCACAACCCCCAGTACACTGCTAGTAAACGGCAACGGCGAACGTAAGAAGATCTCCCCGTTATCGTTCATAACAGCCCTGCTCGTGCAATCGTTGACCCAATCCGACATTCCTGTCCTACACTACTTCTGCGGCGACAACACCGGCAGCAGTGGTGGTGGCCCTTCAGGTCTAATAAGTAGCCTGACAGCGCAATTGTTAACACACTACGATTTCGACCTGACCACCATCCGGCACTCGCGAAAGGGCGCACCAAAGACGACGAAGCAGCTGTGCGCCCTTTTTGAAAGCCTCCTCACGCAATTGCCCGACGACGCATTGCTCTTCATACTCATCGACGGGATTACCTACTTTGAAAACGCCGACCGCCGCGAGGAGACGTGTCTTGTCATTGAAAAACTCCACGAGATCTCGCAGAGCGCCGACGCACTTGTTAAGGTTCTAGTTATGGCGCCGAGTAAGAGTCGGTATGTGATTAAGGTTCTGCAGAGTGATAGCGGAGGCGATGGCGATGGGAAGGGAGGGGGGATGAAGGAAGGAAGTGGGTGGGGGGTTTTGTATGTTCCAGTGAACCCGGATGGTGGGAGAGTGGGGCTTAGTGTGCCGTATTGGGGGAAGAGGACTAGTGGGAGTTTTACGGACTTGAGAAGGGCAGCGGAGGAGCAGAGTGACAGTATGGTGGAGGAGCGGGGGGACGGGAGGCTGGGGAGGAAGGGCAAGGGGAGGAGAAGAGCGAGGTCGGAGGACGGGAGAGCGGGGAGGAGGATGTCATGAGTGTAGGAGGTGGGGGCGACAGCGGCGGGAGGGGTGTTATGATAATTCAACGATATCTGAATAAAATATCTTAGCGCTCGTATAATATACGCCCGAAGGTGAAGAAGTACGGCATCGCGAGGAAGCGGGGTATGAGTCACTTATTTTACCCACAAACCGACTCTAGGGACTGACGAGTTTGAACGTGTCTCAAAATACCAGCCATGTTTCCCACACACGACATCCAAAAAAAAAAGTGAATTTTCCTCAAGTTCACAAAAAAATCCCCCATCCACATATCAGCCGTCTTAATGTGGTTGCGAAAACAAAAATACAGTAGAAGGCCTAAAAGCCGAGGCATACCCAGAAAGCCTAATGCTAAAATATTTCATTCGCAACAGAAATGCCATAAAAGTCGGTAAAATGCCATTCCTATCGTGCCAAACGGGGCCTTCATTCTTGACGTTTCAATGTGTCGGGCAAACCACCATACCCGACGACGGGGTACTACTCGCCATTCTCTAAAAGCCTTACTCTCGCAGCTCATCATTGAGTGTAAGAGCAGATAACACACTACCCCATACAGGTAAGATTATAAAAGTACCGGGTCAAAACCTTTCGTCCAACGCCCGGTTTTACACCAAATTTAGTGAAAAATAGACATTTTCAAACGGACGTTTCCCAGCACTTCCCTCTTAATAACACTTTAAATCTTTCCGTCGGCCAGATAATTACTATGCATTTAACCCTCTAGAGGTAGGATTGCGGTAGATCGAGGCCGTCTCAACTGTTTACGATTGTGTCCACCAGTGTGAATGCGACCCAAACTTTTGTATAGGGAGCCATATAAAAAAGTACACCGCAGCCGATACCTGATGCTAAGATGACACTTTCTCCACTCCTCTGTAATATTTAATAATTCTGTAATACTCCCCGTGTTATCTACAGGCTTACTTATGCGTTCCTAAATTCTGGTAGATTCTCGAAGGCATTTGTGCTGTGAGGGAGGGCGGTGAAGATGAATACTTTTGGTGTAAAATGGTCATCTGTTTGTGAAAGAGTGTGAAGATATACGATATGAAAGACGGAAGAGGGCTAATATTTGTAACTTACGGCCTTCACACCATTCCCGCCAACATTCAAGGTTGGTAGCACCAGTGGATGGTATATAAAGTCCCTAGCTTGCGGTTGCAGAGCACATTACAGACAAGTAAAGCTTGAGACCCCGATATACGAGTGATTATGTATGGCCCCTTCAAAGCTTAAGCATGTCCTGGGGGTCATGCACGATCCTAGAACAATTCGAGTATCAAACAACCTCACCAGCCAGGCCAACTCGAGCCCAGACTAAGTCCAGCCTGGTAGGTTCGCGCCAACCACCATAACATCCTGCAGAACATCGAAGCATTGTTTTAAAAATATTCCGCAAGCTCTTGTACCCTGGAGCAACTGAACTATTCTTCCACTACCCCTTCACACACCACCGCCCCCGAACTCAGTAGTACGACCTCCCTAAAGAAAGCCGCTACACATCCCTATCCCCACCCTCTTCCTCGACATATATCCGTTCGTGTGCAGAAGTGTAGGGGGGGGGAAACACTCACTTTTCAAAAAAAAAATTTGCGTATTCCCAGCAACAATCTCCACTATTAATTCAGCAGACAGCCACGCGCCCTTCCACACCTGGTGGAATTGAAGGGAAAGGGCCCAGAAGAACCCCCCGAGGCCCCAAGCGAATTATATAAAAGCAACCCACACGAACCCGAACAAAGCACGACGCCCAGGACACCCATCGAAGCGCAACAGGTTACCACGAGGATGTGCCGATGATTCGCCTACCCACCCGTTTGCGAATCGAAGGAACAGGCCCGTCAACGAACCTCCCATTCTCATGGAAGAAGCCTTGACTTAACACCCCTCCGATAAGTACTAGGGGGTCTAGTTTGTAGCCATTTTGGCTGCCCTCACTGGCCAACTTATTTCAGTGTGCTAGCTAGAGCACGGGGGAGATCTTGGCAGTGGTGCTGTCTAGCTTCAGCACCCCACCAGAGTTGGTCATCGAGTGACGAAGTGTGAAAACACTTTTCTCAACTACTCTCTGGAAACACATTAGAAAGACTCAAGGTACCACGCTGCCGGAGCATATTAGGATCTCTATCACGTGTCCAGCAGGGCTCGCGGTAATAGTATCTGATTCGCGGGTGAAGAGATACACCGCCAAGTTAGTGGCTTAGGCGAGGGTATCTTCTGACTGTATGATGGAATTGAATAGCGTATCGTAGCATCAGAGCAAATCCTTGGTCATCCGTTCCTCTAAAGCGATACCGTTCTCCCAGGAGCACTTTTGTCACAACCGCCCTAAACCAAAGGTACTAGTCATACCTCTCACCAAAATAAAAAATAAAAAAAACGGATTATTATTATACAAGTACAAGTAGCAAATAGGTACCTGGCAAGTACGATATCAGTATATTCCCGTTCATAGCAGGGGACGTATCTGGTAACGGTGGATAAAGGTAGAAGACCGATCTCGCAGTGGTAGACGTTATATAAAAGGGTATTTGCTTCGAACTTGGGTAGGAAAAGATATGGAAGACGTGGTAAACAACTCCGTTCTCTTCGTTTTTTCCGCACTTCATCTCTAACTTAAGTTAACTTATCTCTAAACTAACGGTAAAGAAGGGTGCATGATTAAAGCATAAACAATGCATCCTGCTCTCATAGATCGCCGCACCCATCTCTATGTCTCCACACAAGCCCATTCCTCCGTAGATTCCCGTGATAACAAAAGAAAGACATGTCTAAAGAAACCTCCGTAAATCTCTAAACTCCCATAATGATCAACCATACAACTAAACTATCCGTCAGATTCCTGAAACTTCCACAATCAGCTCCAATCACCCAACATGCATCTATAACCTTCAACGGCATCAACAGTATCAACCACGTTTCAAACGTCCACAACTCCATAGCCCAGATGTCCTAATATAAGCATTGTAGGACGCCCACACAAACAGAACACGCCAGAACACGCCAACCGCGCAGTGACCGAGCCTGAGATTCTCGACAAATAAATGAAGCTGCTACAGTACCCCAATTGCCGATTGAGCCAAAATTTTATCACGGCCTTGCATAGCAGAACATCGGTAGAAGCACTGAAAAAAACAGGGTAATGCTAAACTGCCCCATGGGCACAAGCGCTGTGCCAGTGCGGGAAAACCAGCAAGCATCCGGGAGCCCGTTCCACGGAACATGTCCTGCCGGCGATCATATCGGCCAATAATGGCGTAGCTTACTAGCATGAGCTGGTGAATAAATAATCGGGACAAATTCCTCCCCCCCCCGTCCAATCACGACTTCATGGGGCTCTCCTTGTACGGCAGTGTCATACACGGCTTAATACCGGCTGTCCATCCCCCCGCCCGTACCTGTCACCACCTAGTCCAGAGAGCATCCCGAGATCAGGAATAGCAGCTGGAGCGCAGCACAACATCCACTGGTAAGATCACGGCATGAGCTCCCGGTCATACTATTTACCTTTTGTAAAGACCCCGATTAATCCATGCCCATCGGCTATCCGACTCTGGACGGGGGGTGAACTACGAGAGGTATAATTTCATGCTCAGGTCTACGTTCCAGCACTATACTATATTGCCGGTCTTGCAGTAAACGCTGCTCTCTGGGCACCGGACTTTATAACTCAGCGATATCATGGCAATGGTACTACTTGAAGTTCATCGGGTGGGGATTCTATCATATACAAGGCTCAGACATGAAAATACGGTACCGAGCGGAGCACATATGTTAACTTTGATCTTAGTAAAAATTAGTCGGTACTAAGTACCAAATGGAGACAGGCAAGAACTAGCTTCTTCCACACCACCCGACAGACATAGAGTATCGAATTGGAGAGCAGATGCCTTACCCGTCGATTATCTATTCAAAGTTGACTGAGAGAAGAGGTGATTGAGATCCTCGTAAGGCGATATTTCCCTGGTGCGCCGCCGCCACCGAGATTCTTGCTATGCACCATCTGTACTCGAACAGCGTCTGTACTCGAGTACAGTACGGCGCTACAGTGCTGTCATTATTTTATCCCCGACTCGCGAATTGCAATTACAGCCCGTTAGCCACGAGAACAATGGCAAGGATAAACCCAGTAGTGAGGAGCCAGGGCAATAAATTGCCTCCTTTATGTATAAGTCATATATGAAGCCGCAGACCGCAAATCCGGTACAGTACAACCACAATACAGATAAATTTGAAAATCCTTCGCTCCTGTCCCGCCCTTGGCATTGAGGAAAAAGAAATCCAAAAAACAGGAGAAAAAAGGGTAAAATATAAAATAATATCATGGAAAGAAACTATCATGGGAGTCATTGTTCGTCCCCAGAAAAACTCGCCACCTCCAGTGCAGAGGGAACGTTGGTATCAAATTGCTCGTTCATGATAAACTGCCGACAGAAATAAAATAGAAAGAGAAAAAGAAAAAGAAACCGAAAATGCAAAATAAAAAAGGGAAATCAACTCATTGCACCCGCCCCCCATCTCAATAGCCTATCCCTCGATAGTTCCCGTAGTGCCAAAAGTCCTCGGGCTCCTTAACGTGTTCCCTGTAGAACCCGTCACCGGCGTCGCCACAGCCGAAAAACTCCTCCTGGGGGTATCCCCCGACGACCAATTGGCAGTCACGTCCGAGAATGAATCTATATCGGGGTTCTCAACCTGAATTCTAGACAACCTGGCGTAGAGGTCCCTTCCAATAGCGTATCCCGATCCAGAAGCTTTGCTCGTGAACCAAGGCATCCTCAGACAGGCCTCGGCGCTCGGTCGATCCTCATGACTCGGTTGCAGGACGTCATGGAGGAAGTCTACGCATAGGACGCCGAGGCCCACGTCTCCGACTACGGCGGGAGGGGAGCATGCACTCAAGGAGTACCGAAATACTTCCATGCGGCTTCTGAATAGGGGGTTGCCAGCGACCATCCGGTACAAGATACACCCAAGGGACCAGATGTCTACACGGTTGGTCTTGGTTTTCGACGTGTCGTCCACTTCGGGCGCCATGTAGGCTTCTGTGCCAGCAGTAGTCTTCATGTACGTGGTGGTGGTGGTGGTGGATAGGATGCGCTTTGATGTGCCAAAGTCACCGATTTTTACACGGAGGACGCGGTGGTCCCGGAGGCAGAGGAATATATTCTAGTTGCTATCAGGCTTTGTCTGCGATGTTGTGACGAGGAAGGGTGCAAACCTCTGGCTTCAGGTCACGATGAGTGATCCCATCATTATGCATTGCTACCAATCCGTGGAGAAGCTGCTCCATCACCACCTTAGTATCAGATTCATTCCACCGATAACCTCTCGCAAAAGTCTTCGTCATATCCCCTAGAGGAAAATACTCCATAGCGATGTACACGTGGTGACCGTCCTCATACGAGTTGATAAATTTCACGAACCACTCATGCTGTCGACGAATCAGACAACCCTCCCGTAAATAGAATAGGGCCAATGCCCGCTAAGAAAGGACTCAAATTTGGGCAAAACTTACATTAGATTTTGATAATGTCTGTAAATTCCTGACCTCAGCTTGATACTGCTTGGCAGGGAAGTTTGGCAGGGTTTTTGGTATCCTCTTCACGGCCCATAACTCAGGGGACTCCATTTCGCGCATCTTGACCTTCTCCAAGAATACAGTTCCGAAGGCACCGCTACCGATTTTGTACTTCAACTTCCAAGCCGGTGGTTCCCGAACAGGAGCGCCATAGGCTTCCTTTTCCCCAGGCGCGGGCTCTGGGGTTTTACCCCTAGGCTCTGTTCGTCCGAGATTAGGTGTTAGATTTTCACAATCACCCAGGAGTCAGGGACACCTACCTCCATATATAATCCCCCCGGAAAGGATGGGGGGATTCCCGGGAGCAACGTTGTTGGCACCCAACCCACCGCTCTGGAACCCACCGCTCTGCTGGAACCCACCGCTCTGCTGGAACCCACTGCTCTGGGTGGGGTTCGGAACCTCGGGTGGAGTTTGGACATGCAGTCCGGTCTGTTGACTCTGCGAGGCTCTAGGTGGCCCTCCATTGTTGGCACGGTCTGTCACACCATCAGTGTTCACCCTCAGGCGCTGGGATAGAGGCGGAAGGGCACACCATTCATCATACTAGTAGGTAAGCTACCCATCATACGAGCCCACGCATCACTAGGCACATCCCCTCCGATATTGATATTGCCGCTATTGACATTGCCACTGAAATATTGAAGAGAAGGGGGGCTTTAACCAAAGAAACGGCGAATAAGTCATCAGCTCTTCCAGAAAACGATCCAGGTATGATAGTTTCCCATTGGGGAGGGGAGGTAGTAAATATAAGAAGGCGCAACTCACGGGGTGTTATTGGACATCTCGTTTAAGATTCAGTCTGATAAGGTGTGAATGCGGTTTGGTCCGACACTTCAAAGAACGAGCGATGTAGAATTTGGGAGGAAGGAAGAGCACAGAGTTTATCAGGATGAGCCTAGTTTCTGACAATAAATGGATAGATATAAATGTTAGCTCGCTCACTCTTAGGTCAACACAAGTTTCATCCCCGAATCCTCGCAGTAACAACCAGCCGGGGAGGGAGATGGAGAACCCTAACCTGACACAGCTCACGGATAGCAAAGAGGCTCAAGCGCTCAAGTGCTCTTGCAAGCGCAATTACCCTACTAACGAGGAAATAAAAAGTAGATTATAGTAAATTATAAAGCCGCGAACAACCTTCTGACAAGCGAAATGAAAGATGGCGAGAGGGAAAGAAAAAGCCCTGGCGCACTAATCAATATATACCAACGACTAGTTTAGAGGGGAGCTGCCTAAACTTCGCTTACCTCACCCTAAAAACCAATGGTGATACGGAGTAAAACACCACCACAATGCCGGCGGGCACAGCCCCGCCCCGCTTCCTGGATGAGTCCGTTCCTCCTCATCCTGTACCGGTATCAAAGCAATGCGCTCAGCTCGCAAATAAGGATCTTATGCATACAGCCGCAGAGTGCGGGGCCATTGCAACCAGGGCGCGAGTGAGCACGGTACAGTACAAGTAGGCAGACCCATCACGGCAGTGGGTGCATTGGTCGGGAACGCTGGTTTCTACAAGTACGAGTATGATACCAACCAATATCCCCCCGGTCCGTCGCTCGGAAGTACCCATGCTCTACTCGAGTAGCGCTACCAGGGCATCCATTCATGTCAGTGGGGGGCTAGAATTGGGAATGTTTAGGTTAAAGCTAGGTGTTTTAAGAGTTTCTGTGATGCTGAAGGCAAGGGGGTGAGCTCGCTTCGAGCTTTACTGCGCCCACCACTGCTAGGATATGGACGTAAGTGATGGGACGGACAGGGCTCGACGATGTCAATGCTTCCTATCATACCATTCCTGGCATCAGACCCACCAAATTAAATCTATTTTTCCCTCTAGAGGTAACTACGCCCAGACTCAAAAACCCCCGTCCGTCCCATCACTTACGTCCATTCCCGAGCACTCGAGTAGTCTACTAAGCCACCATCCCATCGGGAGGGAGGATGGGGGAGACTAATTACCGTACTTGATAGGATGCCGAGAATCATAGGTGGCGAGAACCACCGGCCCCCTCAGACGAGTCAGCCTTTTTCATTCAAGTTAAGTATCGCATCTCTTCTGTGAGAAATGTTAGTTCTCACTACCCTATAGTTCTCGGCACCTTGTCAAGTAGTCGAATTGACAGAGGGCTGTGAAAGGATGGATGGACGGTTCGCGGTATGAATGGTTCAATACCCCCGTATCCGGCACTGGTACTGCGAGTATAGTCTCCACCTTCTCCCATATCCCGCATAGCGTTACGCTGCCAGATGCCATCAACCAACCTGACTTAGACAAGGCATGAAGTGAGGCTCAAAGCTCTCTCCGCGCGGTAGCCGATGCGCTGGTATCAAGTAAAGCGCATAGAATCGAGGTATCCCCCAATCGGATACCGGCGATGTCTGGCCCCATTGGCAATCGAAAGCCGCATTCGATGTGGAGAAGGGCCGCGAATACCACACAGGCTCCCGTACCACTCAATTGGGATCCAAGTACTGCGGGATATAAAAGTGCAACCCAGAAGGCGGCCCGGCGAGGTACACTCTCTCCCTCCAACCTTCAACGAGGTCACTCCTCCTGGAAACTTAAAGCGCAGCGAAATGTATATTTCAGGTGGCACAGTACGGAGCGATAACATTCGTTACCAAGATAGCTTGCACTATGCTGTCTCTAGCTCGTGCCATTCGGATGGTTGGAGAGAGCAGTTAATAGTCTCGATATCAAGCCCCAAGGATCCGCCAACCAAACTCTATGCCACCGCCTAACCCCCCAACAGGGGCGCCGAGTGGTACTTGAATCTCCCAGCGGAGCAGACATCAGCACGTGCACCACACTGTTTTGTTCCTCTAGGTGCGCTTATACACGAGCAGCAAGCATTACTTTTTTCACACACTCCAATACTCAAGTACCCACGCTATCTCCAGCCGCATCTGGAACCAAGCAGAATTAAGCTTTGCCATAGACTACGAGTACCGTCATGCACGACAATCTTGGAAAAACCAGAACAAGCTGGCAAGGGCAAACAAGATGTGGCGAAGGACTACCGTCTATTGTCCAACCTCAATTCCTAAAGGCTTCTCAACAACCGCTCCGATGAGAATTATGGTTCTGATGGATGATAGAGCAGGTGATTTTCTACATATTAACGGAGAGAAGATAGTTAAAAGTAGACCTTTCCCCGGCAAGCTCAGGGGAATATCCAGGACATATTAAATAGTGTTTATTCTTTTGGTAAAGATGGTAAATCACCATTTTCCAATGGATTAACCCAGATCAAGGCCTTGCTTGGTGGATTATCATGCTATTATTAATCCAGGGCGGCTACAGAGTCCCCTCACTATTTGTAAATTTAGCATGGCAGAATGTGAGTAAGTTGGTCTTCACCCCACGCCACACGCAGTTAGCAGCACGATGGCCCAGCACCCCGGCGAACCTGCTTTGCGCAAGAGCCGGTACCGTACTGTCCTCAATTACGATTAAGTTACAATATGAGGTGAAAGCCTCCTCCAGCCTCCACCCTCCAGCTTCCACGGTACCCATTATGAGAATGAGCGGCAACGAACGTGGCTCGGTTCAGTTTAGCAGCAGCAAGCAATTCCACCATTTCCCCTTCCGCAAGCCAAATACCCCTGCTCGTCGCCGCCCAGATTCGTCACGGATCTGCTTAGGATTGTGGTCTGGAAACGGGGAGAAAGGAACAGTACAAGTAACTTAGAAGGTAAGTACTCAGCTCCCCTCCATAAGAGAGAAAAACAGAAAAGCACAACCTCACCTGAGGAGGCGACCCAACAACATAACTCCTGGTCAATCACTCCAGTTTCTTCTGCGCCAAAACGCGTAATTGGCGCCCGGGGGGATCATTTGCCGCCACGATTGGGGGAACGAGGAGAGCATGAGGAGGCTTTTTGCGATTCAGGGCACGCTAGCTAAGCCTCGACTCGTACGAGTACGAGTACACCAAACGGCTGTGATATTTACCTACTCTGTTGGAAATGCGACTAGGCATCGCCCTCCTGCCTCCGCACCACCCAAGCTATGATTTTTCGCCAAGACCGGGTGTCGCTTAAGGTTGGGCGGTGCCCGAAGTCTGAAATGGTTGGTTCCTCCAATGCTCCGAGCTTACTTAGTAATCAAGTCGTGGATTTTAGATGTCTATTGCTTCATCTCCTAATGTGTAGCTCTTGATGCTTGTTTGGGTCACCGTCCGGATCCTTGTAAATGAGTGATTATAGCAACGCCCAGTCTTGGCGAAAAACCGTAGCCCTAGATACCGAGAGTACAAGTATGGTACCGGTATTGTATCTCAAATCTCAAGCTTCTCTTCCGCTATTTTCCTGACCTTGCTTTTCACCTTCCTGTTTGGGAAGGTGGTGGTGGGTGTCAACACCACACGCTACCACCTCGTGATCCCCTCTCCAGTGCTGAACTTTGGAAGCTTCATAGGCTGGACATTAAACCTCATTATAGGGCTAAATGAAATTTTCACCCCCTCTGTTATTGGGCTTTGGTCCCTTTGCCAGATTGTGGTTCCTGTCCTCCTCCTCCCTCCATGGTGGCCACCTTGGCTAAGCTGTGTGAGGTTGTGAATACTCCTCCACCCCTCTGGGTTCTTTTGCTTGGTCAGGTTTACTTCTTTACCAATGTCTGGGTTACTTGGCAATGCGTGGTTGGTATTGCACTGCCTCCGGTCACGCGCCCGTCCGACCAGCCATAAACGCTCACTCCACTAGGGGCCGGCACATCCAGGTCGGCTGCCTTCATTATACGAAGCGAATGCATCATGGTTCTTCCCTATATTTCTTAGCTGCTAGCCAATGCTGAACCAGTTGAAAAATGGTGAATGTGGTTTATCAAGGTAGTTTCCTTTGTTGGGTTTCTTTTGTGTTTTCTTTCTCAAGAGAATACGGTATGGGCTTTCTTGTTGGCTCCTGCCGGTCCTGTTTTGTGCTTTTTTTGTTTTGTGCAGAAGGAGCTTTCATGGGGGCGGATGTGCGGTTGGTCCCATGCCAGAGGGACTTGGGCTGGCTTGTTTTCCCCTAGGCCTGTGGAGGAGGTTTTTGACCAACATGTCTAAGGACTAAATCAGGAGTGTGGGGCGGTTATTGCAGAGATGCCCTTGTATCTAGGATCCATGCTTTAGCTGGGCTGTGCTCTTATAGTGGAGGTTTGCACCTTTAAGCAAATAGATTCTATGATTTAACAAAAAAAAAAAAAAATTTGTATCCCAAATCTTGGCACTGCTCGAGCCAAGGAAACGCCAAGATTTTCGAGTGCTTTGGAATGGGCAGGTGAATTGATAATTGCCATAAGTTACTGTTCTATTTTCTACAAGTGAGGGTGTATGAATTCCCGTAGATGCTAAGAACGAGATGGAGAGATTCCCGACTAGCCATATCCCTTCGTCAAAAGTCCTCTGTTGAGAATTGCATTACTAAACAGTGCCTACGAGCCTACCGGTTCATACAGGAAACTAGTTCGCCCAGTCTGCTCGGGTATCAGTAACCCACATGTATCAGAAAAGGTTCAACAGTTTCTTCCCCTCCCGCTACATCCTTATTCGCGTTTGAGCATGTCCGGAGAGGGGTGAGAGGTTGGAGGAGCAACTGGGGGTCTCAATTTTGTATAGAGCTTTTTGTTGCCCTTCCACCCTCCCACATTCCCCGGCACGTTGCTCATTTATTATTCCTTTCTCCATGAGGAGCTGCTGCCCTCATGAGGAATCAAGCATGGACATCTGGGAAGTCCAACCCGCTGGGACCATAGTGTCAGCCAATAGGCCATGACCCCTAAAGAAATCGTTATTCTTTCTCATTGACCCTATTCCTAGCGCAGTGGGAGAAAATTACCCGCGGTGCGAGGGGGTTTTGCGAGTGAGATGGAGATGTATTCCTACCGATTAAGGAATACGCTCGCCGAGGAATTGGATCACTGGTATAGCACTGGAGGTAATTCCTGTGGTGTTATCTTGCATATTCCTCAATTCTGAGTTTGCATCCAATCAGTCAATCACAACAACCGCATCAGAAGACCACTGGTGCCGAAGGAATTAAGTGAAGAGGTTGGAACAGCCTTCACAAGAGGATTACGTTTTCTTCTCTTTTCTTTCCTTTGCTAATACTACGATATTGAGTGTTCTATCTGCGGTGCCCCCATTGTATCTTTAACTCCC